TTTGGGCAAGTCAAATGCTTGCTAATGAAGGCACTTTCTGAGATCTCTTGTCAAGGAAATTAATTTATATTTATTTAAATTCAGGATGAAATTAAAATTGGTGTCAGTCATTTCTTTTGTCCATCCCTCATTTTTAATTTCACACCATGTCTTTTTCTCTTTACTATTATTTCTCTTCATTTATTATAAATTCTGAACTTGCCTCTGACAAGTCAATGATCTGAATGCACACGGGAGGAACTGTTACATCGATAAATCTTTGACCATCTGTAGCCAATTTCATTCTTTATGATGTTATTCAGTGCCCAACATCTCTAGCACCTACCAATTCTTTTTTTAAGGAAGTATTCATGATGTAGAAGTATAAGTCTTCTGTATAATCTAAAGTCTTTGCCTTGTTCATTTCTTTCTCCGCAGCATATTTCCTCTCCATAACTCTCCCTATCCTTGCCTTTGTTTTGCATTGAAGTCACCAATTATCAGAGTGTATTTTGATTTGATTTGAAATGGTCTTATCAAGTTGTTCATAGAATTTCTCTATTATTTCATTCTCAGCATGTGATATTGATGAGCAAGCTGTAATTACTTTCACTGCAGTCTTTTTTGTAAATACTTAACATTTAACATTGCAATATATAATGAACAAATGTCCAGTGAAATAATATTTCTCATAGCCCGGGTATAATGATAAAAACCCACCTTGCCGATTCCTTTAATTATCTCTCTAAGGCATACATGTGAATTTTCTATCCATTTCACAGCAACTCCCTCTTTCTGGATTCCTTTTTAGAAAGAGTGTCAAGATTGAAACGATTTAGCTCCTCCAGCCATTACAGATACTTAGTGGTCGGTCAAGGATGTCACATTTAGAGTACTAATACTACAATGGTACATCAAATTAAAGTTTACTAATGGTCTAAAAACTGCATGATTCTCAGCATTCTTTGCCCCCTTTTGGATCATTCTACCACCATCCCTTCAGAAGTAGAAAATTGCTGTGCAGGCCATTTTGAAAGACTTTCTTTGTTGTATACTTCACTGTCTACATATGATTATTATATATGCACACATAGCCAATATTCTTATATTTTCAAATATAATTCATGTCATAATAGTTGAGGGCACATGGCCAAATAAAATTATTCTTTGTGTTCTCAGGATGTAAATCTGAAAAAGCTACATGTCAGCATAATACTTGGTAACTATTAAATGAGAAATTGTCACTTGGGTATAGAATGCTAACTCAAAATATTGGCAGATAAATTATTAAACTTTATTCCTTTGGGGAAAAATTCAGTTTGTGCTTTCATAGAAAATGTACACAATAGGATATTTTCCTTTGAAGGAACATTAGATTTTTAAATTTTCCTTATAAATTTCATTTGACTCAATAATATCTGGTTTTCTTTCCCCTATGGGATCCAGGATGCTGATAAGTAACCTTGACTGAAAGAAAAAATATAGCAATACTGGATTATCTGTTTAGTAGGCCAGTTTTAATCTGTGTCCATGTCTTGCTTTGTCAGCACCCTGTAATCCTTCACAATCCTATTAAAACTAATGATAAATTCTTATTAGCATGACATTGACTATATTGTACCTGCAATTTAATGACCATATTTAGTTGAGGGAGAAGGGTTTCTCTGAGTCTGAAATCATTAAATGTTTGAAATTCTTTTTTTCTAAATCTCTGAGACCTTTGGCTAAACCAGTCAATGCCAACCTCTTCCTTTTCTTTTTCTTTGTGTGTGTGTGTGTGTATGTGTGTGTGTATGTGTGTGTTAAATTTCAGGATTCAGCCCATGGGAAACAGCATCTGCAAGGCTGTTAAGAAAGATGCTTGTAATAATGAGAATATACTCAGACAGCAGGTAATGGGATGTTCCTTCCGAGATTCTCCTAATGTAAATCCATAACAGATACAACAAAAAATAACTTGCCTTTTATTTATTTAGAGAATTAAATGAGTGGGGAGAAGTACAGGATCTGCAAACATATTGTCTTTATTTAATGTTATTATTTATATTTTGAAAGCATGAATTCATCTTTGGTTTGTGATTTTTTTTCTCAAGCTAAGCAGTTAAAAAAAACTATAATCCATTTATTTCTATTGGTAAACTAGCATCAGATTGTAGGAATTCTTTTTTAAATAATTTTTTTCTCCCCATTTATATGTAAAGACAATTTTTAACATTCATTTTTAAAAAATTTTGAGTTCCAAATTTTCTCTCTCCCTCCCACACTTCCCACCTCCTTGAGACAGTAAGCAATTTGATATGGGTTATACACGTTCAATCATGCAAAACATATTATCATATTAAACTATAGAAATTCTAAACATGATTAGAAAAATAAGACAGATTCTCTCTAGTTCCTAAATCAGCCCACAATAGCAAGGCAATGAATTAACTTTTAGACCTCCAGAGTGAAATAAAGCTTATCTTGCATTCAGGATACTGTCAGTCTAAGTCTTCGCATGGGAGCTAAGGGTGTTTTTATATGAGTCAAATTTTGATAGGCCCAGGGGAGACCCTGTGATATGAATCAGAAGCTGACTGTGGAGGGTTGTTTGTGATTGTGTGTGTTCTCATGTATATATGTGTATATATGCATATATATGTATATTGCCCACATGTATTTATGTATCATACACATAAATGTGTATGTGCATATATATGTACACACATATGTATATATGTTTCTGTTTTTTACATTTTAAAAATTGGTGCTTTTTTTTTTACTTCAATCCCTCACAATGCACACTGAAATATTAAGCAAAATTTCTAGGCAAAGCAACCATAGGTGATAATGTAAATCAGACATGTTAAACACAATGCCTTCAGACCCCGGGTGTCCAACAACACTCCCAAGTGCTAAGTGCTGCAGGAATCAGATTAAAATGTAATTAGGAAATATTTACAATATAAATAAAATTACAGTAAAACAAAGCATGTTTTAAATATTCACTCTAAGTCAATAGGTAGCCTGAAAGGATCTTTATGTAAAGTTTAGCTGGCCCCTCCCTTCCATCACAGTTTAACACCACTAATTTAAACAACATTCAGTAGCCTCATTGCTCAAGAAAGAGCAGGAATATTTCATCCTTTGTTCTCTTCAAACTTGATTTTTCATTGAAATTAATACGAGCTAAGTTGCATTTTAATGTTTTCATTCATATTATTATAGACATGGTGCATTTTTTTCTTGGCCTTGCTTCCTTTGCTCTGCATAATTCATATGCTGTCCCATGTTACTCAAAATTCTTCATATTTGTCATTTCTTACAGTGCAACAGTATTCTGTCACATTCATGAATCACATTTTGTTCAGTCACCCAACAGTAGAGGGGCACACGCTTTGTTTCCATTTTTTCTAACACAAATAGTAAGCTACCACTATTTTGGCACAAACAGGACTTTTCTTTCTGTCACCGATTTCCTCAGCTAATTTTTCCAGGAGTGAGATCACTGGGTTGAAGAGCCCTTCGGCAATTCATTAATTTACCTGTTTTTCCACAAAGGAAGGTCATTTTTTGGATTAGGAGTTAGTGATAAAATCATACTTCTGTACTCCCAAATATTTACTGTTTGGCTTCAAAGAGTCCAAAATAACAACAAATAATACCATAAAACAAGCAGCTCAATTTTAAAAATTTATTTTTAACTGTTGGTACGAAATACTTTTCAGACTACTGCCCAGTTGACCTTCCCCATTTTTTTCACTTTACTTCCCTCCTGTACTTGTGAAAGATCAACCATAAACCTGTAAGCAAGATAACTATATGCTTTATGATTTACTTTGACTAATCGCTCTTTAACTCTTCCCCCATGAGCCTGAGAACAAGAAAAGCAAGATTTATGAAACTACTACCTAATCAACTTAATAACATTTCCTATGCAAAAGTAAAAAGGGTCTCAAAATGAGTTCATTTCACGTAATTCTTAAGTACCAAGCACAGAGCCTAAATGACCGTTCCAATTCCCTTATTTTAAAAAATAGAATTAATGAAAAATGTCCTACCTAGTGAATTCCTGATTTAACCAACTATCCATTTCACATGTACTGTTAAGAATTTAGGATGTTTTCAACTTTAGACCATGGTGAGCAATGGTTTCCATTGAAGAATTGTTTATTTTGAAGAATTTTAAGGCACAAAAAAGCAAGGGGGATGGTGGAAAAAGAACTAAAGTTGGAATCAGTGGCACTTGAGTTCGAACGTCAGACTGCTCCTTTCCTGACATGTTGGCCAAGTCACCTAACGTTTTGGGTTGCATTTGTTAAAAGAAATAAAAAACAAAAAAAGCAAGTCTGGCACTATGAAATTCTAGTATGAAAACTGGTTTTTTACCCTTTTAAAAATTATCTAATCCACACATGTAGAGCAAAAACAAATGATTACAAAGTAAGTTAATTTTAAAGCACTCAGTGCTTTCTATGGTCACTTCCAACTGCAGATACTAAGAGATTACAACTGAAATAAAAAATAAAATTGTGTGCTGAGTCCTACACCCTTGGGTTTGGGGATAAACTAAGGACAGAAGGAACCAGAAGCAGCCTAAATAGCAAAGCCAATGAATAACAGCCAATGTGAGGTGTTTAAAAATCAAAAAAACAAAAACAGGCTACCTTCCCACGGTCAAACCCTCTGGTCTACCCCGGGGAGGAAAGGAAGGAGTGCGAAGTATCTGCAAACTTTCTCAGGGCTTTCTTCCCCAGAGGGTCACCCCTCTCGTTAGGCTAAAAGAAAGTAGAGAGGCCACAGTTGTCCTAGTTGTGACTCAAGCTTCTTGAGTCATTGACCCGAGGCTATCTCCAGCCAACGAGCGGAGGGCTCACCGGCCGGGACCCAGCGCTCTCTCCCCTTTCCCCTAGTGTGGGAAGGGGCGTGGCCAGGGCGGAGACCTCGCCCACTGCTTCCCCATTGGCTGAAGGGACCCGCAAGGTGTGGGCCGGTGGAGTGGCAAGTCCAGGACTGGGTGTGGGGGGAGCGGGCGGAGGAGTTGTCCTGCCATGGGGCGGGGGAGAGGGGCAGCTCGGTGAGGGAGCGTTGGGTCTGCTCCGGCGAACCCCGTCCCGGGACCATGGAGGAGCAGGTGCTGGTGCCGCCGCCTCCCGGAGAGCCTTGCCTACAAGGTGAGGAGGGTACAGGGGTGGGGGCGCGGGGAGGGCGCGGGGTCGGAGCCTTGGGATGGAAAGACGCAGCCCCTCCTTACAGCCCGCTGGAGGTGGCCGAGAGCCGAGCTTCTCGGGGGCACACAGCTGCCCGTCGCCCGCCTTGGCATGGGGAAGGCAGGAGAGCCCTTCGCTGCTTGACCTCAGCCCGGGATTTGCACCCTAGAACCGAGTCTGGGCTAGCCGAGGGGACTTCGAACCCTGGGGTGAAGTTGGAGAAGTGTGTTCTTTTGCGTTTGAAAATTGCGCCCGGCCTGGGGTGGGGGGTGGGGGGTGGGGGGTGGGGATGCACATGCACATCCGGTGTTCAAAGTCTCCGGATAACTCGCACGACGTGACTAATTGCAATATAAAAACCTTTCGGGGAAACGTAATTTTCTTGCGTTAAAAATGATTAAGTTAAGGATATAGTCTTTGTTTCCTCCAACACATCTTAATGCCTGGCATGAAGTAAGCGTTCTATAAGAACTTACTGATTGAGTGACTGAATTTATGTATGTGTGTGTGTGTGTGTGTGTGTGTGTATAATATGTGTATGTATATGTTCACACACATATACTATACATATATAAATTGGAAGAAGAAAAAAATTTGAACTCTGTGTAATTATAATGACCTTCCCCAGAGAAGATGGTAGACTACAGGTGTGGAACATAGACTATATACTATTTGATTTGGTTGATGTATTGAATTGGGTCGTCCCTCCCTTATTTTGACTTTTATTCGTTGTTACAAAGGTGGATCTTCAGGTAGAGGAGAGATATATTTTTAGATAAACATGATGGAAAATGAAGATTATTGATAAAAAAAATTTAAATAATGCATTTGTAAAAGTGATATTAAAAAGTATGACTCTTGATCATCTATGTTCCACTTCCCACCCACCACTGACAGGAGGAGCAAAACGTGCGTGCTTCTGACAGTCTGACTCTGCTTTCATTAATTAAATCTTTGCTGGGAGAAGGCAAGAGCTGTTGAAATCCTGTACTCGCCCATTTCTGGATTCGTGTTTGATGTGTCATCTTGACACTGTTTCCTGAAGACCTTGGACTTTGTAAACATCGCCTTTTCTAAATTGATTTCAGTACGGACAGGTTTTCTATGACTTGGTTTGGGATACAGCCAACTAAAAAGTCTGAAATGCAATCTAAAAATGCTTTCAGAAAATAAAAGAAGGCAGGAATAACCACTGAGTTCGTGCATTTTTGTTATATTTTTAGGATGGAAGCATCCACAGTAATAATAATAATAGTAACAATAATTAACTGGCATTTACATGGTGATTTTTTTTCCCCCTTTTTTGGTGAGGCAGTCGGGGTTAAGTGATTTGCCCAGGGTCACACCACACTAATAAGTGTCCATTGTCCGAGGTCACATTTGAACTGGAGGCGGGAGCTCTATCCACTGCCACACCTAGCCATCCATGCGTGGTGATTTAAGGTGGAAGAGTATTTTCCAAGTGTCATCTCATTTTAGCCTCAGAACAACTCGGTGAAGGGAGGTGCTGTTATGACCATTTTACAAGAGGAAGCTAAAGGGAGGTTAAGTGACTTGCCCAGGATCACATAACTAGTAGGAATGATAATTCAGATCAGTGACAGACATTTTAAAACTTTAATTTCTAACAAATAGGCTGTTTGGTTTCTTCTCCTTTTTTTAAGGATTCAGTGAAGTATCCAGCTGGAAGGAGGGAGGAGGGAAAGTATATACCTCAGTAGTACATAAACTAGATAACTGAGAGTTGGATAGAGTGTGCTATGGAGCTTATGGTATAATTATTTCCTGATACTGGGTATAATTTTAGATTTTTTTCAGTGGGTTGGTTAATTTTTCTGAACTGATTTTTTTTTTTCCTTTTCAAAATTTTTTTTGTTAAAAGAGTTGGGTAGGGAGCTGGGAGATAGTGGATACAATGGGAAATGTAAATGTTGGAAAATAGAAAATACCAATTTAAAAAATATAATTATTTTGTAAGTCAGAAACTTAAACATATTTCCTACTTTTCCTTAATAATAAGCCAAAAGGCAAAGGCTTTTCCAAGACAACCACCTCTGTTTGTTTGTCTAAGGATCTGCATGGACAAGGGTGTGTGAATTATAAATCTCATTGTATGAGGTATTTACAAAGATGAATTCATGAATGTAGTTTAATTAGAAATTAATATAGTCCTGTTTCTCAGGTCCTTCTGCTAGAGCAGCAGCCAGCGAAGAGAAAAGAGGACAGGCAGGATTTGGATTGAGGTCTTTGGTGGTATAGTAGAAAGAATACTCTCTTTGAAGTCAGAGGATCTGGATTCAAATTCTTTTAATCTTATTACCTTGTTTATGTAACAGTGGTCAAGTTTCTTAATCTCCATGGGCCTCAGTTTACTAATCCATAAAATGAGGAACTTGGTTTAGACTATATGGCTTTTGAAGGCCTTTTCAGCTTTAAATCTCTGATCCTTCTATTGACCTAGCAGTCCTACCAAATTTTGAGATAATCAGAGGAATTGTACAGTGTAAAAATGTTAAGACCGAGACTGAATTCAGTCAAAAGGCCACACTTAAGGATCTAGAAGGCCACAGGTTCCCCACCCCTGACATAGACAATCTGCTTATTATTATTTAGAATGGATACAGTCCTGTATAAATCCATATAGTACTTCTACTTTTTCGAAGCGCTTCTATATCTGCTGAATTATCTTGTTTCTTTTTCATGGTACTCCTAAAACCACTGCTGTAGGAGCACTGATCTTGGGGTGAGAAGATCCAGGTCCAAGTGCAAGCTCAAGTACTGGGCCGGTTTCTTTAACCTGTGGCTCACTTTCCTCGTGTATAAAATTGTGATAATAATGATTCTACTCCTGACCTAAAAGGATTATTATTAGGAAAGCATTTTGTAAACCTTAAAGCCATTTTTATTTTACAAATGAGGAAATTGAGCCAAAGAGGTTAAATGACTAAGGTCACACAGCCAATTAGCATCACTGCCCAAATTTTGTGGACAATTGGGACTTCTGCTTTTCTTCCTGATTACCGTTCTTGAGCTCATTCCACTGTATGCAGGGAATGGTCCAGGTCTACACATCTGAAGACCTATCCTGCATAGCCCTGTGATTAAGCACAAGAGCTAATATTTTCCACAGTTTTGTTGAGTGAATAAATCCTTCATATACTTAACCAAAGAGATAATTTGTGTACTGTACTGGAAAAACTGTCTACCAAATTAATCTGTTTAATAGCTTCAAGGTGTGAGCTCTTTTTCCTGATTATAGTAGAAATAAGTATAGTGACTGGACCTAGCATAATCCTTAAGTGATGATTAATTGGTATAGGAAGCTTCAGGAAACTGGGCAACCTAGAGTCTTAGAAAGTTGCCTAGAGGGCCTCAGATCTTACCATCTGTGTGCCCTAGGCAAGTCACTTAACCCTGATTACCTCTGAAAAAATAAAGAAAAAGAAAAAAAAAAGGTTACCTGGAGTACTCTGAAAATTTAAATGATTGGCCCAGTAGCCTCAGACACTTACTAGCTGTGTGATTCTGGGCAAGTCACTTAAGCCTGATTACCTCTGGGAGGAAAAAAAAGGAGAGAAAGAGAGTTACCTAGAGTACTGAGAGAGTTTAAATGATTGGCCCAGTGTCACACAGACCATCTCTGAATGAGTCCTGGAACCCAGGTCTTCATGGCCAAAGTCTCTGCACCAAAATGAATACTCTCTTCTCTGTTGTCCCTTTTTGCTTCCTCATGCCACCCACATCTCCTCTCATTCTTCAGCTAATCAAATTATACCACAATGTGAAAATGTTCAGTTCCCTAACCCATAATCCAAGTGCAGCAACTGGGCTGCCTATTGTCCTAGCACAGAGTTCAAGAGTCCTACCCTGCCTCTAGTAAAATTCCCAAAATGAAGGAAGTCTTTAAATGGTCAGAGATAATACAAATTTCCCATTAATATTAACATAAATTGTAAATGACCAAGAAGGGGACAAAAAGTGGCATGTGAAAGTAGTGCTAACATCATTCCTTACATTTCAATAAGTTGTAAGGTCCTCTACGGCCAAGACATTTTTTTCGGTTTTTTTCTTGGTGTCAGTGCTTAGAACAGTATCTGGCACATGATAGTTGCTTATAAATTCTTGTGATTGATTCCATTTCCTACCCGTTCATCCTAAGAGATGTTCATCTCTATCGATCTAGGGATATTAGCAAAAGAAAGACAGTAAAATATGGAAACTACAATAGATACAGAATTTGACAATTAATAGTACTTGGGAGGACTTTGGATTCCTGATGGCCTTTCCAACTGGAAATTTTTTTCAGAATGATAGCACTAGGTATTTAACTGTTTGTTTGATATGACCAAAACTTGTACATCAGCTTTAATTTTGTTTATATAGGTTGTACTTAAAGGTTTATCTTCGACATCCCACTGCCCACCCCATGCTTAGACGGAGGCTTCCCTCTGATCTTGGTAGTTGTGTGACCACGGACAAATCAATTAACTTCTCTAGACCTTAGTTTCCTCATCTATAAAATACCTGACAGAGCTGCTTTTAAAGATCAAATGATTAAAGTGCTGTATGTTTAGATATCAACTATTATCACTAATTTCCCAAATTTATAATTTTTTTCTATTCTTATTTCCCATCATTGAAAAACCTTTAATTGATGTCTCTTGTTTTTTACATCCCCTTCCTTTAAAAATATACTCCTCCCATTCTCTCTCCCAAACTGTGTAACAAAGAATAAAAAACAGGACAAAAATCCATCAACAAAAATGTCCTAGGTATCCACTGTACCCATAGGATCATAGATTTAGAGCTGGATGGGACCTTGGAGGTCATCTAATTGAACCCCTTCATTTTATTAGTGAGGAAATTCAGGCCTAGAGAGAGTAGGTGACTTTTCCAAGGTCATACAAGTAACACGTATCAGAACAGGAATTCAGACTTAAGCCCTCTGATTCTGAATCAAGTAC